TATTCCAGTAGTCCTAAATTAATAGATAAATTAACAAAGGTTTGTAAAAATATTCAAATTTTGAAAATACATCATAATGATTTCTCATATGAATATCAACCAAGCATATCCAGTAGTTCCGGCTTGTCATCAACTATTACATTTTTTAGCATTGACTTTTCATCAAACAAGAATGCTGATTACAATCTAACTCAACTGATCAAGGCACAAAACCAAATTAAACAATTGGATGTTGATTCACTTGATAATATAAGTATATCAGAAGACCTGAAAAAACAATTTCAGATCATTCGTGGTAATTCTACCAACACTTCATAACTATCATTATTTAGTAAAGAAGATGGAAAAGTTTATAATCTTATGTTATCACCAAATGTTAAACTTTTTTTCTAGAAAAGAATCGCTACCAGACAACCTTTTCTATTGGACTTGCCAGCTTACATTATTTAAACCTGGCCAGATGTTGATGATTAACCAAAAAAGACATTGGGAATTTTTAAGAGGATTTTTATTCATTATCACTAAATTGTAATAAAATAGAATCATTAACTTTTTTTTTTACATTAATTCCTGGAATATGTTTTTTATGCATATTTACATGTATTTGATGGTGATAGTAGAAGTTTAAATAAAACCATGATTTTTAATTAAAAGTTATCAAAAAATTTATTAAAGGTCCTATGAAATTTCTTTGGAAAAATTTTCTGTATTAATAAATGTATTGATAAATAAATAAATAAATAATCTATATATTCAAATTTTTTTAAACAACAGAATTTCTATGATTGGTTGATGTAATAAGTGTTATATTATATACAATGTTAAATAATAAATAATATAAGAATAATAAAAGAATTAAAGATACAAAGTTATTTAAAAGAAAAGTCCTAGTTATTTTTTTTGTTCTTTGAAATCAGATGATCCTTTAAAATTTTTAATCTCTTTAGATTTAGTTTCTTCTCTCATCTGTTTCAAAAAAGGCATTAAATCAATTCCACCAGTGCCTCTAACTACATTTAAATCATTATAAATCTTGTTTGGTGTGGTAGCAGTGATGTTACCGTTAGTAGTAGTGGCACCATTATTATTATTATTATTATCAGCAGCAACAAAATTAGTTGCAGAACCGTTAGAAATAGTGCCATTTGTAACTGAACCATTTATAATCGAACCACTAGTGACAGCACCATTGGTAACATCTATTGGAAACATTGAAAATAAAATAAAAAATTTATTATCAAGTGTTAGAAAATATCAAATCTGACAACCAATTATATGCATATACATATATGTACCTTTATTATTAGAATCTAGCTTCACTTTTGAACTTTTATTACGTGCTTGAATTATGTAAATGCAAACAATTTGTAAATGCTTGGATCTGAAAATTGTCATTTTATTTAAACAGTCATTGTAGGCTTTAACCAATTCATTGTTTTCAGCGATTTTATTACTGTCTAATTTACCATTTATTTCCATGATATAATATAATCATGTATGATTGCAACTTTTATCAAATCTTCAAGGAATCTTTGATGATTTCCAGGAATATTTTGACGAATCTTGTAAATATAAGGTTGCTATTGCTGCTGCTGATGTATACTCTGCCTTTTTTTGCTTGTATTATTATAGTTGTTACTGAGGTTTTCATTAGATGACTCATGAGAATACTTATAATTGCTAATATTGTTTGTAATTGGCTTAGTAATAGTTGGATGATGTTCAATATTAAGTGCGATGTCTAATGATTGGATCAATGAGCTTTCCACCACCATACTGGCGATAATAGGATTTCCATTTTCATCACATCCATCCACACCTTCATACTTCAGTCCATTTGGAAATCTTCATCATTATATCAAATAAGGTTGTATCTTCTGATAGAAAAATATAAGAATCACAATTTTCATAAATCTGAAGAAGAACTTTGGTAATTTCATCAATGGTTGAACTAATAATTTTTAAAGATTCAATCAGTTGTTTATTGTTTTTATCATGAGCAGATTGAATTGCAGAAATAATTGCAGTGAGAGCTTTCCCGCCAAAACATTCAATAACAATTGTAACGAGGTAAAACCAAGATTGATCCATAGTATTTGTAAAAGTAATTAGCGTAGCAAGATTGCTGGCTGTTATATTATTATTTTAATTAATTATTTGAAAAAAAAAATCAAATTAGAAAATAATAAAATGCGCTTTTAAAAAAAATATTTCTTCTAGGATATTAACTTTAAACTTGGTTCTTCATCAGGGGAGATTAAATGTCAATTCCATAATGTCAAAGCTTGCATGATTCATTACCGGCGCCACATTAAGATAATCAGATATTTTGACTCATGGTATAGCAATACAAGCTAGTATATACAAATAAATAAGATCCAAGTATAAAGAAAAAGTAAAAGAGAAAAGGAAATCTATCAATCCTTACATCGATCACAGATTCATCATATTTCCCTCGAACATAACCATGTGCTAATATTGATAAAACCAAAAAAGCACGTTTATATTCTGCAGAGTTTTTAAGCTTATCCGTTCTTAATATTGGTAACTAAAATATACAGACATTCTTTAATTTTTATTATAAATTATAAACACACATGCGTTAATATTCCAAAAAAATAATTGTTAACAAACCATTCCAACAGACTCTCTTAGACAGTCGGTTAACAATAAGTTGTGAAAATTGTCGATCAAGTTTTCCCATGGCTCATAATAAGTATCAGGTAGACAACGTAGGGGAGGAGTATAGATTGAAGAAATCCAGTTTTTGGACTGATGTCATAGTCTTCAAGGTGGGAAATAATAAATGATTTTCTTTCTTTTCCATTTTCTATATTATTAGAAAACATTATAGAGAAGAAATTTATAATATGTATATATGTTTGTAATTAGTTGGTTAAATAAATACAATAAATTACCAACAACACACATTAATTATATGTATTTAATGATGCTGAAATGTGAAATCGAAATTTTTATAACTAAAATTTTGGGGTGGGGTGTTTGGATATGAAATTCTGGTTGGCTAATTTCACATAGATTTCATTTTCATATTTGATTATATAAAAAAGAAAATCACGCGATAAACAAGGACTAATAATCAATTTTTCTTACTATATTTGAACATACATTATGTCAAGAAAATCGCAAGTTCAAAAATTTCACCGCCAATATGATCTTTTGGGGTCTA